CAGTTACAGATGTAGTAGTAGCAGCAGCTGTTGTAGCTGTTACAGCTCTTACAGCTGCTACTACTACAGCTGTAACAGCTGTAGTAGTAGCAGCTGTAAGAGCTGTTACAGCTGCTGCTACTACAGCTGCTGCGCCTGTTTCAATGTAAATCGATCAAAGCCATTCGCTTATCTGAGCTTGGTAACATGGATTTCGGTTTAGGGGCTGGGTGATGTGTGGTGTGGTTGGTGTGGTGTGATGTGTGTGGTGTATGTGGTGTGTGTGGTGTGTGTGGTGTGTGTGTGGTGTGTGGTGTGTGTGGTGTGTGTGGTGTATGTGGTGTGATGTGTCTGGTGTATGTGGTGTGTGTGGTGTGTGTGGTGTGTGTGTGGTGTGTGGTGTGTGTGGTGTGTGTGGTGTATGTGGTGTGTGTGGTGTATGTGGTGTGTGTGGTGTGTGTGTTGTGTGTGGTGTGTGTGTGTGGTGTGTGTTGTGTGTGGTGTGATGTGTGGTGTGTGTGGTGTGATGTGTGGTGTGTGTGTGGTGTGTGTGTGGTGTGTGTGGTGTGTGTGGTGTGATGTGTGTGTATGTGGTGTGTGTGGTGTGATGTGTGATGTGTGTGGTGTGTGTGGTGTGGTGTGATGTGTGGTGTGATGTGTGGTGTGATGTGTGGTGTGGTGTGATGTGTGGTGTGATGTGTGGTGTGATGTGTGGTGTGATGTGTGGTGTGTGTGGTGTGTGTGGTGTGATGTGTGTGTGGTGTGTGTGTGTGTGTGGTGTGTGTGGTGTGTGTGGTGTGTGTGGTGTGATGTGGTGTGTGTGGTGTGGTGTGGTGTGTGTGTGTGTGGTGTGTGTGGTGTGGTGTGATGTGGTGTGTGTGGTGTGTGTGGTGTGTGTGGTGTGTGTGGTGTGATGTGTGTGTGGTGTGGTGTGATGTGGTGTGTGTGGTGTGTGTGGTGTGTGTGGTGTGGTGTGATGTGGTGTGTGTGGTGTGTGTGGTGTGATGCGTATGGTGTGATTGGTGTGGTGTGTGTGGTGTGATGTGTGTGGTGTGTGTGGTGTGTGGTGTGATTGGTGTGGTGTGTGTGGTGTGATGTGTGTGGTGTGTGTGGTGTGTGTGGTGTGATGCGTGATGTGTGGTGTGTGTGGTGTGATGCGTGATGTGTGGTGTGTGTGGTGTGTGTGATGTGTGTGTGGTGTGTGTGGTGTGTGTGGTGTGTGTGGTGTGTGTGTGGTGTGATGTGTGTTGTGTGATGTGTGTGGTGTGATGTGTGTGGTGTGTGTGGTGTGTGTGTGGTGTGTGTGGTGTGTGTGGTGTGATGCGTGATGCGTGATGTGTGGTGTGTGTGATGTGTGTGTGGTGTGTGTGGTGTGTGTGGTGTGTGTGGTGTGTGTGTGGTGTGTGTGTGGTGTGTGTGGTGTGTGGTGTGATTGGTGTGGTGTGTGTGGTGTGATGTGTGTGGTGTGTGTGGTGTGTGTGGTGTGATGCGTGATGTGTGGTGTGTGGTGTGTGTGGTGTGTGTGGTGTGTGTGGTGTGTGTGGTGTGTGTGTGGTGTGTGTGGTGTGTGTGGTGTGTGTGTGGTGTGATGTGTGTTGTGTGTGTGGTGTGTGTGTGGTGTGTGTGGTGTGATGCGTGGTGTGTGATGTGTGTGGTGTGATGTGTGTGGTGTGTGTGGTGTGTGTGGTGTGTGTGGTGTGATGCGTGGTGTGTGATGTGTGTGGTGTGATGCGGGTGGTGTGATGCGTATGGTGTGATTGGTGTGGTGTGTGTGGTGTGATGTGTGGTGTGATGTGATGTGTGTGGTGTGTGGTGTGGTGTGGTGTGATGTGTGTGGTGTGATGTGTGTGTGTGGTGTGTGTGGTGTGTTGTGTGTGGTGTGTGTGGTGTGGTGTGTGTGGTGTGATGTGTGTGGTGTGGTTGGTGTGTGTGGTGTGATGTGTTGAGATCGTCCTGACATCACTAACATCACTATCATCACTATCACTAACATCACTATCACCATCACCAACATTACTAACATCACTATCACTAACATCATCACTAACATCACTATCACTAACATCATCATCACTAACATCACTATCACTAACATCACTATCACCATCACTAACATCATCATCACTAACATCACCATCACTAACATCATCACTAACATCACTATCACTAACATCATCATCACTAACATCATCATCACTAACATCACTATCACTAACATCATCATCACTAACATCAACATCACTAACATCATCATCACTAACATCAACATCACTAACATCATCATCACTAACATCAACATCACTAACATCATCACTAACATCACCATCACCAACATCATCACTAACATCATCACTAACACCATCACTACAACATCACTAACATCATCATCACTAACATCACTAACATCATTGTTAAAACATCACTAACATCACTACAACATCATCACTAACATCATCACTACATCACCATCACTAACATCACTAACATTATCACTACAACACTAACATCACTACAACATCACTATCACCATCACTATCACCATCACTAACATCATCACTAACACCATCACTACAACATCACTAACATCATCATCACTAACATGACTACCATCACTAACATCATCACCAACATCACTACAACCTCACTAACATCACCATCACTAACAACACCATCACTAACATCACCATCACTAACATCACCATCACTAACATCACCATTACTAACATCACCATCACCACCATCACCATCACCACCACCATCACCACCATCATCACCACCACCACCATCACCACCACCATCGCTGCTCCACTCTAAATCTTCATCTCTTCCTCAACCTCCTCATCCTGCAGAGAAAGAAAGACACCAATTGTGGTGATGGTGGTGATGGTGGTGGTGATGGTGGTGGTGGTGATGGTGATGGTGGTGGTGATGGTGGTGATGGTGATGATGGTGGTGGTGATGGTGGTGGTGATGGTGGTGGTGATGATGGTGGTGATGGTGGTGGTGATGGTGGTGGTGGTGATGGTGGTGGTGATGGTGGTGATAGTGGTGGTGGTAGTGGTGATGGTGGTGGTAGTGGTGATGGTGGTGGTGGTGGTGGTGATGATGGTGATGGTGGTGATGATGGTGGTGGTGGTGATGATGGTGGTGGTGGTGATGGTGGTGGTGATGGTGGTGGTGATAGTGGTGGTGATGGTGATGGTGGTGGTGATAGTGGTGGTGGTGGTGGTGATGGTGGTGATGATGGTGGTGATGGTGATGGTGGTGGTGATAGTGGTGGTGGTGGTGGTGATGGTGGTGATGATGGTGGTGGTGATGATGGTGGTGATGGTGGTGATGATGGTGGTGGTGGTGGTGATGATGGTGGTGGTGGTGGTGATGATGGTGGTGGTGATGGTGGTGGTGGTGATACCACTACTACTGCTGGAGGTTCTAGAGGTACTGGAGGTTCTAGAGGTACTGGAGGTTCTAGAGGTACTGCTGGAGGTTCTAGTGGTACTGCTGGAGGTTCTAGTGGTACTGCTGGAGGTTCTAGTGGTACTACTGGAGGTTCTAGAGGTGCTGGAGGTTCTAGTGGTACAACTGGAGGTTCTAGTTGTGCTGGAGGTTCTAGTGGAGGTTCTAGAGGTACTGGAGGTTCTAGAGGTACTGGAGGTTCTAGTGGTACTGGAGGTTCTAGAGGTACCACTGGAAGTTCTAGAGGTACTGGAGGTTCTAGAGGTACCGGAGGTTCTAGTGGTACTGCTGGAGGTTCTAGTGGTACTAGAAGTTCTAGAGGTACTGGAGGTTCTAGTGCTGGAGGTTCTAGAGGTACTGCTGGAGGTTCTAGTGGTACTGGAAGTTATTGTGGTACTGGAGGTTCTAGAGGTACTGGAGGTTGTAGAGGTACCGCTGGAGGTTCTAGTGGTACTGTTGGAGGTTCTAGTGGTACTGGAGGTTCTAGAGGTATTGCTGGAGGTTCTAGTGGTACTACTGGAGGTTCTAGTGGTACTGGACGTTCTAGTGGTACTGGAGGTTCTAGTGGTACAGCTGGAGGTTCTAGAGGTACTGGAGGTTCTAGTGGTACTGGACGTTCTAGTGGTACTGCTGGAGGTTCTAGTGGTACTGGAGGTTCTAGTGGTACTGGAGGTTCTAGTGATGCTGGAGGTTCTAGTGGTACTACTGGAGGTTCTAGAGGTACTGGAGGTTCTAGTGGTACTGGAGGTTCTAGTGGTACTGCTGGAGGTTCTAGTGGTATTGGAGGTTCTAGTTGTACTGGAGGTTCTAGAGGTACCACTGGAAGTTCTAGAGGTACTGGAGGTGCTAGAGGTACCGGAGGTTCTAGTGGTACTGCTGGAGGTTCTAGTGGTACTAGAAGTTCTAGAGGTACTGGAGGTTCTAGTGCTGGAGGTTCTAGACGTACTGCTGGAGGTTCTAGTGGTACTGGAAGTTATTGTGGTACTGGAGGTTCTAGAGGTACTGGAGGTTGTAGAGGTACCGCTGGAGGTTCTAGTGGTACTGTTGGAGGTTCTAGTGGTACTGGAGGTTCTAGAGGTATTGCTGGAGGTTCTAGTGGTACTACTGGAGGTTCTAGTGGTACTGGACGTTCTAGTGGTACTGGAGGTTCTAGTGGTACAGCTGGAGGTTCTAGAGGTACTGGAGGTTCTAGTGGTACTGGACGTTCTAGTGGTACTGCTGGAGGTTCTAGTGGTACTGGAGGTTCTAGTGGTACTGGAGGTTCTAGTGATGCTGGAGGTTCTAGTGGTACTACTGGAGGTTCTAGAGGTACTGGAGGTTCTAGTGGTACTGGAGGTTCTAGTGGTACTGCTGGAGGTTCTAGTGGTATTGGAGGTTCTAGTTGTACTGGAGGTTCTAGAGGTACCACTGGAAGTTCTAGAGGTACTGGAGGTGCTAGAGGTACCGGAGGTTCTAGTGGTACTGCTGGATGTTCTAGAGGTACTGCTGGAGGTTCTAGAGGTACCGCTGGAGGTTCTAGTGGTACTAGAAGTTTAGAGGTACTGGAGGTTCTAGTGCTGGAGGTTCTAGAGGTAATGCTGGAGGTTCTAGTGATACTGGAAGTTCTAGTGGTACTGGAGGTTCTAGAGGTACTGGAGATTCTAGAGGTACTGGAGGTTCTAGTGGTGCTGGAGGTTCTAGTAGTGCTGGAGGTTCTAGTGGTACTGCTGGAGGTTCTAGTGGTACTGCTGGAGGTTCTAGTGGTACTCCTGGAGGTTCTAGAGGTACTGCAGGTTCTAGAGGTACTGGAAGTACTAGTACTGCTGGAGGTTCTAAAGGTACTGCTGGAGGTTCTAGAGGTACTGGAGGTTCTAGTGGTACTGCTGGAGGATCTAGAGGTACTGGAGGTTCTAGTGGTACTGCTGGAGGTTCTAGTGGTACTGCTGGAGGTTCTAGTGGTACTGCTGGAGGTTCTAGTGGTACTGCTGGAGGTTCTAGAGGTACTGGAGGTTCTAGTGGTGCTAGAGGTTCTAGTGGTGCTGGAGGTTCTAGTGGTACTGCTGGAGGTTCTAGTGGTACTGCTGGAGATTCTAGTGGTACTCCTGGAGGTTCTAGAGGTACTGCAGGTTCTAGAGGTACTGGAGGTACTAGTACTGCTGGAGGTTCTAGAGGTACTGCTGGAGGTTCTAGAGGTACTGGAGGTTCTAGTGGTACTGCTGGAGGATCTAGAGGTACTGGAGGTTCTAGTGGTACTGCTGGAGGTTCTAGTGGTACTGCTGGAGGTTCTAGTGGTACTGCTGGAGGTTCTAGTGGTACTGCTGGAGGTTCTAGAGGTACTGGAGGTTCTAGTGGTGCTGGAGGTTCTAGTGGTACTGCTGGAGGTTCTAGAGGTACTGGAGGTTCTAGTGGTGCTGGAGGTTCTAGTGGTACTGGAGGTTCTAGTGGTACTGCTGGAGGTTCTAGTGGTACTGCTGGAGGTTCTAGTGGTACTACTGGAGGTTCTCGAGGTACTGGAGGTTCTAGAGGTACTACTGGAGGTTCTCGAGGTACTGGAGGTTCTAGAGGTACTACTGGAGGTTCTCGAGGTACTGGAGGTTCTAGAGGTACTGGAGGTTCTAGTGGTGCTGGAGGTTCTCGAGGTACTGGAGGTTCTAGAGGTACTGCTGGAGGTTCTAGTGGTACTACTGGAGGTTCTAGTGGTACTACTGGAGGTTCTAGAGGTACTGGAGGAGGTACTGGAGGTTCTAGTGGTGCTGGAGGTTCTAGTGGTACTACTGGAGGTTCTAGAGGTACTGGAGGAGGTACTGGAGGTTCTAGTGGTGCTGGAGGTTCTAGTGGTACTACTGGAGGTTCTAGAGGTACTGGAGGGGGTACTGGAGGTTCTAGTGGTGCTGGAGGTTCTAGTGGTACTACTGGAGGTTCTAGAGGTACTGGAGGAGGTACTAGTACTGCTGGAGGTTCTAGAGGTACTACTGGAGGTTCTCGAGGTACTGGAGGAGGTACTGGAGGTTCTAGTGGTACTGGAGGTTCTAGTGGTACTACTGGAGGTTCTCGAGGTACTGGAGGAGGTACCTGAGGACGTCTCTCTTGTGTACCCATCCTTCAGGGCAGGCGTGGAGAGTCACCTCGGCCTCAGGACGCAGCTCCACGTGCAGGTAGTCACGGGTACAGAACGCGTACCTGGGGGTACACACAGTCAGTCACTCACTCAGTCAGTTAGTCAGTCACTCAGTTAGTCACTCAGTTAGTCACTCAGACAGTCACTCAGACAGTCACTCAGACAGTCACTCAGACAGTCACTCAGACAGTCACTCAGACAGTCACTCAGACAGTCACTCAGTTAGTCACTCAGTCACTCAGACAGTCAGTTAGTCAGTCACCCAGTCACTCAGTTAGACAGTCACTCAGTCACTCAGTCAGTCACTCAGTTAGTCACTCAGTTAGTCACTCAGTTAGACAGTCACTCAGTCACTCAGTCAGTCACCCAGTCACTCAGTTAGTCATTCAGTCACTCAGACAGTCAGTTAGTCAGTCACCCAGTCACTCAGTTAGACAGTCACTCAGTCACTCAGTCAGTCACTCAGTTAGTCACTCAGTTAGTCACTCAGTTAGACAGTCACTCAGTCACTCAGTCAGTCACCCAGTCACTCAGTCAGTTAGTCATTCAGTCACTCAGACAGTCAGTTAGTCAGTCACCCAGTCACTCAGTTAGACAGTCACTCAGTCAGTCACTCAGTCGGTCAGTCACCCAGTCAGTCAGTTAGTTAGTCACTCAGTTAGTCACTCAGTTAGCCACTCAGTCAGTCACTCAGTCAGTCACTCAGTCAGTCACTCAGTCAGTCACTCAGTCAGTCAGTTAGTTAGTCACTCAGTCACTCAGACAGTCAGTTAGTCAGTAACCCAGTCACTCAGTTAGACAGTCACTCAGTCACTCAGTCAGTCACCCAGTCACCCAGTCACTCGGTCAGTCAGTCACTCAGTCATTCAGTTAGACAGTCAGTTACTCACTCAGTTAGACAGTCACCCAGTCAGTCAGTCAGTCAGTCACTCAGTTAGACAGTCACTCAGTCAGTCACTCACTCACTCAGTCACTCAGTCACTCACACAGTCACTCACTCAGTCACTGTCACTCACTCAGTCAGACAGTCACTCAGTCAGTCACTCAGTCAGACAGTCACTCAGTCAGTCACTCAGTCAGACAGTCACTCAGTCAGTCACTCAATTAGACAGTCACTCAGTCACCCAGTCACTCAGTTAGTTAGTCACCCAGTCACTCACTCAGTCACCCAGTCAGTCACCCAGTCACTCAGTTAGTCACTCAGTCACTCAGACAGTCAGTTAGTCAGTCACCCAGTCACTCAGTTAGACAGTCACCCAGTCACTCAGTTAGACAGTCAGTCAGTTAGTCACTCAGTTAGACCAGTCAGTTAGTCACTCAGTCAGTCAGTCACTCAGTCACTCACTCAATCAGACAGTCACTCGGTCAGTTAGACAGTCAGTCAGTCAGCCACTCAGTCATCCAGTCAGTCACTCAGTCATTCAGTCACTCAGTCACTCAGTCAGTCACTCACCCAGTCAGTCAGTCAGTCACTCAGCCAGACAGTCACTCAGTCAGTCAGTCACTCACTTACTCACTCCGTCAGTCAGTCACTCAGTCAGTCACTCAGTCAGTCACTCAGTTAGACACTCACTCAGTCAGTCACTCAGTTAGACAGTCACTAACTCAGTCACTCAGTTACTCAGTTACAGTCACTCACTCACTCAGCTACTCACTCAGTCATTTAGTTAGACAGTCAGTCACTCAGTCAGTCACTCAGTCAGTCACTCACTCAGTCAGTTAGTCATTCAGTTAGTCACTCAGTCACTCAGTCACTCAGTTACTCACTCAGTCACTCAGTTACTCACTCAGGTAGTCACTCACTCAGTTACTCAGTCACTCACTCAGTCAGTCACTCACTCAGTCACTCACTTATTCACTCACTTAGTCACTCAGGCAGTCAGTCAGTCAGTCAGTCACTCAGTCAGTTACTCAGTCACTCCGTCAGTCAGTCACTCAGTCAGTCACTCAGTCAGTCACTCACTCAGTCAGTCACTCAGTCAGTCACTCAGTCAGTCACTCAGTTAAACAGTCATTCACTCAGTCACTCAGTCACTCAGTCAGTCACTCAGTTAAACAGTCACTCACTCAGTCAGTCACTCAGTCACTCAGTTAGACAGTCACTCAGTCAGTCACTCACTCAGTCACCCACTCAGTCAGTCACTCAGTTAGACAGTCACTCACTTAGTCAGTCACTCACTCAGTCACCCACTCACTCAGTCACTCACTCAGTCACTCACTCACTCACGTCACCCACCCAGTCACCCATCCAGTCACCCATTCAGTCACCCACTCACTCAGTCAGTCACTCAGTCAGTCACCCACCCACGCACCCACTCAGTCAGTCACTCACCCACTCAGTCACCCACTCAGTCACCCACTTACTCACCCACCCACTCAGTCAGTCACCCACTCACTCACCCACTCAGTCATTCAGTCAGTCACTCAGTCAGTCACCCACCCACTCAGTCAGTAACTCACTCAGTCAGTCACCCAGTCAGTCACCCACCCATTCAGTCACCCACTCAGTCACCCACTCACTCACCCACCCACCCAGTCACTCACTCACTCAGTCACCCACTCAATCAGTCACCCACTCACTCACCCACCCACTCAGTCATTCAGTCAGTCACTCAGTCAGTCACCCACCCACTCAGTCATTCAGTCAGTCACTCAGTCAGTCACCCACCCACTCAGTCAGTAACTCACTCAGTCATTCACCCAGTCAGTCACCCACCCATTCAGTCACCCACTCAGTCACCCACTCACTCACCCACCCACTCAGTAACTCACTCACTCACTCACCCACCCACTCAGTAACTCACTCACTCACCCACTCACCCACCCACCCACTCACTCACCCACCCACTCACTCACCCACCCACTCAGTCATTCAGTCAGTCACTCAGTCAGTCACCCACCCACTCAGTCAGTAACTCACTCAGTCATTCACCCAGTCAGTCACCCACCCATTCAGTCACCCACTCAGTCACCCACTCACTCACCCACCCACTCAGTAACTCACTCACCCACTCACCCACCCACCCACTCACTCACCCACCCACTCACCCACTCACCCACTCCATCACCAACCCAATCACCCACCCACCCACCACTCCACTCCACCCACCACTCCACCCACCCCTCCACCCACCACTCCACCCACCTGATCTGCGTCTCCGCAGACTTCACCCGGACTTTGCGCACCATGAGTCTCTGCGGATGTAGGTAGGTAGGCCCGGCCCGGCCCGCCTGCCCTCCCTCCTCGCCTGAGCCGCTCTCCCAGGGCACCAGGGTGTACAGCTGGGCCCAGAGGTCCGTCCAGGTGGGTGGCCGGTGCCAGGCTAGGTGCACCCGGTGGAGGTCGCCCAGGGCATGGGGCGAGTCCACCAAGAACCAGCGAGTGGAGTTCTCCACCAGGCTGCCGTTCCTGGAGATCGTGGGGTGGTGGGTGGGGTGAGTGGAAGGGTGGGGGGAGTGAGTGAGTGGAAGGGTGGGGGGAGTGAGTGGAAGGGTGGGTGGGGTGAGTGGGGGGTGAGTGGAAGGGTGGGTGAGTGGGTGAGTGAGTGAGTGAGTGGGTGAGTGAGTGGGTGAGTGGGTGAGTGAGTGAGTGAGCGAGTGGGTGGGTGAGTGGGTGGGTGAGTGAGTGGGTGAGTGGGTGGGTGAGTGGGTGGGTGAGTGAGTGGGTGAGTGGGTGAGTTAGTGGGTGAGTGAGCGAGTGGGTGAGTGAGTGAGTGGGTGAGTGAGTGAGCGAGTGGGTGAGTGAGTGGGTGAGTGGGTGGGTGGGTGAGTGAGTGGGTGGGTGAGTGAGTGAGTGGGTGAGTGAGTGGGTGAGTGAGTGAGTGAGTGGGTGAGTGAGTGAGTGAGTGGGTGAGTGAGTGAGCGGGTGAGTGGGTGGGTGGGCGGGTGAGTGAGTGAGTGGGTGGGTGAGTGGGTGGGTGGGTGAGTGAGTGGGTGGGTGAGTGAGTGAGCGAGTGGGTGGGTGAGGGAGTGGGTGGGTGGGTGAGTGGGTGAGTGGGTGAGTGAGCGGGTGAGTGGGTGAGTGAGTAGGTGGGTGGGTGAGTGGGTGAGTGAGTGAGTGGGTGAGTGGGTGGGTGGGTGAGTGGGTGAGTGAGTAGGTGGGTGGGTGGGCGGGTGAGTGAGTGAGTGGGTGGGTGAGTGGGTGGGTGGGTGGGTGAGTGAGTGGGTGGGTGAGTGAGTGGGTGGGTGAGTGGGTGAGTGGGTGGGTGGGTGGGGGAGTGTGTGGGTGGGTGAGTGGGTGGGAGTGAGTGGGTGGGTGAGTGAGTGGGTGGGTGAGTGAGTGGGTGAGTGGTGAGTGAGTGAGTGGGTGAGTGAGTGGGTGAGTGAGTGGGTGGGTGAGTGGGTGAGTGAGTGGGTGAGTGAGTGAGTGGGTGAGTGAGTGGGTGAGTGGGTGAGTGAGTGGGTGGGTGAGTGGGTGGGTGAGTGAGTGAGTGAGTGAATGAGTGAGTGAGTGGGTGAGTGAGTGAGTGGGTGGGTGAGTGAGTGGGTGAGTGAGTGAGTGGGTGAGTGGGTGAGTGAGTAGGTGGGTGGGTGGGCGGGTGAGTGAGTGAGTGGGTGGGTGAGTGGGTGGGTGGGTGGGTGAGTGAGTGGGTGGGTGAGTGAGTGTGTGGGTGGGTGGGTGAGTGGGTGGGTGGGTGGGGGAGTGTGTGGGTGGGTGAGTGGGTGGGAGTGAGTGGGTGGGTGAGTGAGTGGGTGGGTGAGTGAGTGGGTGAGTGGTGAGTGAGTGAGTGGGTGAGTGAGTGGGTGAGTGAGTGGGTGGGTGAGTGGGTGAGTGAGTGGGTGAGTGAGTGAGTGGGTGAGTGAGTGGGTGAGTGGGTGAGTGAGTGGGTGGGTGGGGGAGTGAGTGGGTGGGTGGGTGAGTGAGTGAGTGAGTGGGTGGGTGAGTGAGTGAGTGGGTGAGTGAGTGAGTGGGTGGGTGAGTGTGTGGGTGAGTGAGTGGATAAGTGAGTGGATGAGTGAGTGAGTGGGTGAGTGAGTGGGTGAGTGGGTGAGTGGGTGAGTGAGTGGGTGGGTGGGGGAGTGGGTGGGTGAGTGAGTGAGTGGGTGAGTGGGTGAGTGAGTGGGTGAGTGAGTGGGTGGGTGAGTGAGTGGATGAGTGAGTGAGTGAGTGGGTGAGTGAGTGAGTGGGTGAGTGAGTGAGTGAGTGGGTGGGTGGGGGAGTGAGTGGGTGAGTGAGTGAGTGGGTGAGTGGGTGAGTGAATGGGTGGGTGGGGGAGTGGGTGAGTGAGTGGGTGGGAGTGAGTGGGTGAGTGGAGGGGTGGGTGGGTGGGTGAGTGAGTGGGTGGGTGAGTGAGTGGGTGGGTGAGTGAGTGAGCGAGTGGGTGGGTGAGTGAGTGAGTGGGTGAGTGAGTGAGTGAGTGGGTGAGTGAGTGGGTGAGCGAGTGTGTGAGTGGGTGAGTGAGTGTGTGAGTGGGTGAGTGAGTGGGTGGGTGGGGGAGTGAGTGGGTGGGTGGGGGAGTGAGTGGGTGGGTGGGTGAGTGGGTGGGTGAGTGAGTGGGTGGGTGAGTGGGTGGGTGAGTGAGTGAGTGAGTGAATGAGTGAGTGAGTGGGTGAGTGAGTGAGTGGGTGGGTGAGTGAGTGGGTGAGTGAGTGAGTGGGTGAGTGGGTGAGTGTGTGGGTGAGTGAGTGGATGAGTGAGTGTGTGGGTGGGTGAGTGGGTGAGTGTGTGGGTGAGTGAGTGGATGAGTGAGTGTGTGGGTGGGTGAGCAGTCACTCAGAGAAGTCAGTCAGTGAGTGCAGTCAGACAGGCCTAGTCAGACAGAGTAGTCAGACAGTAGTCAGACAGAGTAGTCAGACAGGCCTAGTCAGACAGGCCTAGTCAGACAGGCCTAGTCAGACAGAGTAGTCAGACAGTAGTCAGACAGGCCTAGTAAGACAGAGTAGTCAGACAGTAGTCAGACAGGCCTAGTCAGACAGGCCTAGTCAGACAGGCCTAGTCAGCCAGAGTAGTCAGACAGAGTAGTCAGACAGGCCTAGTAAGACAGAGTAGTCAGACAGTAGTCAGACAGGCCTAGTCAGACAGGCCTAGTCAGACAGGCCTAGTCAGACAGGCCTAGTCAGACAGAGTAGTCAGACAGAGTAGTCAGACAGGCCTAGACAGACAGGCCTAGTCAGACAGAGTAGTCAGACAGTAGTCAGACAGGCCTAGTCAGACAGAGTAGTCAGTCAGAGTAGTCAGACAGGCCTAGTCAGACAGGCCTAGTCAGATAGGCCTAGTCAGACAGAGTAGTCAGACAGATCTAGTCAGACAGCGTAGTCAGACAGGCCTAGTCAGACAGAGTAGTCAGACAGGCCTAGTCAGACAGAGTAGTCAGACAGGCCTAGACAGACAGGCCTAGACAGACAGGCCTAGACAGACAGACAGGCCTAGACAGACAGGCCTAAACAGACAGGCCTAGACAGACAGGCCTAGCCAGTCAGACAGGCGTAGCCAGTGTAGTCAGACAGGCCTAGACAGACAGGCGTAGTCAGACAGGCCTAGTCAGTCAGACAGGCCTAGTCAGACAGGCCTAGCCAGTGTGGACAGAGTAGTCAGACAGGCCTAGTCAGTCAGACAGGCCTAGTCAGACAGGCCTAGCCAGTGTAGACAGAGTAGTCAGACAGGCCTAGTCAGACAGAGTAGTCAGACAGAGTAGTCAGACAGGCCTAGTCAGACAGACAGGCCTAGTCAGACAGGCCTAGCCAGTGAGCGGGGGCTCTCTCACAGGACGAGCGGCAGGTTCACCGCTGACCCACGGCCTAGTCAGACAGGCCTAGTCAGACAGGCCTAGTCAGTGTAGACAGAGTAGTCAGACAGTAGTCAGACAGGCCTAGACAGACAGGCCTAGCCAGTGAGAGGGGGCTCTCTCACAGGACGAGCCGCAGGTTCACCGCTGACCCAAGGCTCCCGTGCAGCGACAGTCGAAGCGACGGAGTAGTCAGACAGAGTAGTCAGACAGGCCTAGTCAGACAGGCCTAGTCAGACAGGCCTAGACAGACAGGCCTAGACAGACAGGCCTAGCCAGTGAGAGGGGGCTCTCTCACAGGTTGAGCCGCAGGTTCACCGCTGACCCAAGGCTCCCGTGCAGCGACAGTCGAAGCGACGGAGTAGTCAGACAGTAGTCAGACAGTAGTCAGACAGGCCTAGTCAGACAGTAGTCAGACAGGCCTAGTCAGACAGGCCTAGTCAGACAGGCCTAGCCAGTCAGCGGGGGCTCTCTCACAGGACGAGCCGCAGGTTCAGCGCTGACCCACGGCCTAGTCAGACAGGCCTAGTCAGACAGGCCTAGTCGGACAGGCCTAGTCAGACAGAGTAGTCAGACAGAGTAGTCAGACAGGCCTAGTCAGACAGGCCTAGACAGACAGGCCTAGTCAGACAGGCCTAGTCAGACAGGCCTAGACAGACAGGCCTAGTCAGACAGGCCTAGTCAGACAGGCCTAGACAGACAGGCCTAGTCAGACAGGCCTAGTCAGACAGGCCTAGACAGACAGGCCTAGTCAGACAGGCCTAGTCAGACAGGCCTAGACAGACAGGCCTAGCCAGTGAGCGGGGGCTCTCTCACAGGACGAGCCGCAGGTTCACCGCTGACCCAAGGCTCCCGTGCAGCGACAGTCGAAGCGACGGAGTAGTCAGACAGAGTAGTCAGACAGGCCTAGTCAGACAGGCCTAGTCAGACAGGCCTAGTCAGACAGGCCTAGCCAGTGTAGACAGAGTAGACAGACAGGCCTAGTCAGACAGGCCTAGCCAGTGAGCGGAGGCTCTCTCACAGGATGAGCGGCAGATTCAGCGCTGACCCACGGCCTAGTCAGACAGGCCTAGTCAGACAGGCCTAGTCAGACAGAGTAGTCAGACAGAGTAGTCAGACAGGCCTAGTCAGACAGAGTAGTCAGACAGGCCTAGTCAGACAGAGTAGTCAGACAGAGTAGTCAGACAGGCCTAGTCAGACAGGCCTAGTCAGACAGAGCAGTCAGACAGAGTAGTCAGACAGAGTAGTCAGACAGGCCTAGTCAGACAGAGTAGTCAGACAGGCCTAGACAGACAGGCCTAGACAGACAGGCCTAGCCAGTGAGCGGGGGCTCTCTCACAGGTTGAGCCGCAGGTTCACCGCTGACCCAAGGCTCCCGTGCAGCGACAGTCGAAGCGACGGAGTAGTCAGACAGAGTAGTCAGACAGTAGTCAGACAGTAGTCAGACAGGCCTAGTCAGACAGGCCTAGACAGACAGGCCTAGCCAGTGAGTGGGGGCTCTCTCACAGGATGAGCCGCAGGTTCACCGCTGACCCAAGGCTCCCGTGCAGCGACAGTCGAAGCGACGGAGTAGTCAGACAGAGTAGTCAGACAGAGTAGTCAGACAGGCCTAGTCAGACAGGCCTAGTCAGACAGGCCTAGCCAGTGTAGACAGAGTAGACAGACAGGCCTAGTCAGACAGGCC